CTCTCCATGGAGAGGAGACTTGAACTGAGACCTGAAGGATGAGAATGGGGCAGTCGTCCTGAGGGAGAGTCTTCCCTAGTGTGTGCGAAAGTCTTGACATGGTCAGAGACGACACCGAGGCCCCTATGGCTGAAATCTAGTAAACAGAGGATGTTGCGGAGGTGGGGAGGAGCCAGCTTTTCAACAGGGAATGCCAGAATTTATGTCTCAGAAAGGTCATTGTCTCTGCTTGTGCACTTGAGTGGGGATGTAGATTAGCAGGGACGGAGGGAGATCTATGGGAGCTTGAGAGAGAGAGAGAGAGAGAGAGAGAGAGAGAGACAGTAGTTTGGACCATGAAGGTAGTGGTGGAGATGAAGAGAAAAAGATGTGTTTGGAAGTGGAACCAACAGGACCTGCTCGTGTGAAGGCAGGGGAGAGAGGAATTTAGGGTGACTGGAGGTTTCGGCTTGAGGGTGTGGGTGGTTGATGGTTCCTCTTAGTGAGATGGGGAAGAACAGGAGTAAAACAAATCCTGAAGGGTCAAAAGAACGCAGGATGGGACGCCCTTTCACACCACCAGAACGAAAAAAATTAAAAAGATGACGGAGATAGGGATGATGGATAGCAACTACCCCCGTTTTGGAAAACTGTTTGGCATTAATTGCCAGAATTGAACCTTCACAAATCCCATGAACTCTTCATTGCCCTCCTCTCTCCAAGTCCCTTTGTTGTGAGCACTCCAGAGGGTGGTCCAGTGCATGCGAGCAGGAGTGGCCGGTCACCCAGCCCCCTGCCCACCCACTTCCCAGGGCAGAATCAGGACTGAATGTGACCCTGACCCGCTGCACCCGTGCTTAGCACAAGGGCCAAGTTCGCCGCTGAACACCTGCAGTTCCCTCCGCTGCCGCGCGAGGCCGCTATTAAAGCGCGAAGGTGGTGGATCCCGCTGCATCCAGCTGGGGCGCAGAGGCCGGGCTCCCAGGGACGCCACGCCGGGGGGGCCTGACCTGGCTCGGGACCACCAGCGCTGTTGACTGTCGGAGTTCAAGGTCAACGCAGAGATTCCAAGCTCTCTAGTGAGAGGTTTCTGCCACCATTCCCAAACACGTTGCTTTTAATATATCCTGACTGGCACTTTGTATGAAACCAACTTTGCCCCTTCCTCATTTTATGATTTTGCAAATACTAAAATGGATGACAAAAAAGTTAAAAATATGAGTAAAGATAGAGGAACATTGAGCTGAAAAGGTAGGTCAAAACAATCAGGGGAAATCATTCTGTGTTTATATTTTTATATATTTGTATTCCTCTAAATGTAACAAAGATGCCCAGCTTTAAAGGAACCTTTTTTAAAAAAATGAGACTGAATGTAGAATATAATAATAAAAGGTATCATATCTATGATATGCAAGTTAATCCAAAAGGAAAATAAAAAGGGCAAGTAAAAATTCACAAATCATTTTTCTGAAACTTTTTTCCCCGATAATTGCTGATTCACATGCAGTTGAAATAATACCCAAAAATAATACAGAGACCAAGTTTACTCTATACTGAGGTTCCCCCAGTGGTAACATCTTGCAATGCTACAGTACCATGTCAAAACCAGGATAGAGTCAAGATACAGAACAGTCCCATCCTTCATCTTGCTTTTTTAAAGCCATGCCACTCCCCTCTTAACGCTCACTCCCTCCTTAATCCTAGGCAAGCACTCATCTGTTCCCCCGTCGTATAATTTCATCCTTTCAAGAATGCTTTATAAATGGAATCCTATAGTATATTCCCTTTGGAGACTGATTTTTCTCATTCAGCCTAATGCTCTTTAGATCCATGTTGCATATATTGATTCCTTCTTTTTTTTAAGATTTTATTTATGTATTTGACAGAGAGAGACACAGTGGGAGAGGGAACACAAGCAGGGGGAGTGGGAGAGGAAGAAGCAGGCTCCCCACTCAGGAGGGAGCCCGATGTGGGGCTCGATCCCAGGACCCTGGGATCATGACCTGAGCCGAAGGCAGACCCTTAACGACTGAGCCACCCAGGCTCCCCTCGATAGTTAATTTCTATATGTTGATAAAGTAGTATTCCATGGTATGGATATGCAGCTTGCTTAACTATTCTTCATTTAAGGACATCTGGATTGTCTCCATTTTATGGTTATAACAAATAAAGCTGCTGTGAACATTCACGTGGTTTTTTTGCAAACATAAATCTTTATTTCTCTGGGCTAAATGCCCAGTAATACAACTGCTGGATTGTATGATACTTAGTTTTCCCCCCAAATAACCCATTTATTTTACATAGGAAATTTGATTTACACAATAAATATTAAATATCATACCTTAATGAAATATTCTATTTACTTTTTTATTAATTTATCAAGATTTAAATATGTTAAATATACCCTCTCAAACCTAGCTAGCAAAGGAAGTGGATAATAATACTGCATAGCCAACTAATTTTCACTAAACATAATTAATAAATGAGAAAGCAGATATCTATATTTACATACAATCATATCAAAAGGGAATGACCCAAAGACCACTCCTATGATCGTTCTCTTTCCTTTGGTATCACTGTCATATGTCCTCAATTTATGAAATAAACTCACAGAAGGGTAAGGTTCAGAAACAACATATTTAGACTGAAAAAATACTTTTCTAAAGCATTAAAGGAAATTAAAGCCTGCTTATTTAGTCTTCATTAGGAAAAGTTGCAACTCTGAGGGTGCTTGGGTGGCCCAGTTGGTTTAATGTCTGTCTCTGGCTCAGGTCATGATCTCAGTGTCCTGGGATCTAATAAAACAACTCAAAGCGTATTTCTTGTTGACAATGGCTCAACAATAATGTGACAAATACAAATACAAAAAAAAATCATTTTTAAGTTTTTGTCATTCAAGGTAAATTTAATACCAAATTTGTTGTCACATTATTATATATTTGAAAAGTGACAGCCATAAAATCAGTTGTTGGATGGATTCAGATAGAGTTCTCTTTTTTCTTTTAAGAGAATTAAAACCACCATAGATAAAGATTTCATTTGAACATAATACTAATACCTTTTCTTTGTACACTTTCAGAACTTTGAGCTATATTCATTTCCTCAATTGTTTTCTGTTCTATCACTATTACTGGTTTGCTTTTGCCTCTTTTGTTTACTTGTCTGACAAAAATCAGAGTCACTTGTTTGTTGGTGAGTCCATTCCTAAGAGCTGGGTCCAATCTCTGGATCTGGAACAAGATGGGGAGGGGCTGAGGGGGGGTGCCGTTAGGAAGCGGCACTGTCATCGGACAGTAAGGGAGCTTCAGCACTGGATTATGCATGCCACTGCAAAGTTTCTGGAAGAAAACATATTCTTGAGGTAAAGCAGCATTATTAATTGGAAAAAACTGCGTGGGACAGTTAAGGTCTGCCCACAACTTTCATTCCTGTAGCTAGTGAATTTATCTTAACACACCTTTCAAGACTGTGGTTAGTTGATTCAGAAGAGCGTTAACTCCCAAATGGATATTGCATATTAATTGATCTTCTATATAAATGAATTCCATTTAGCAGAGCTATGGCATCAGACTGGGATTCTGCACGTTCAAAGCAGACAAACACAAAACCTCAGCGTTTCTTCTCTGTGTTGGCATATAGTCACTTTAGTTACCGGTGCAGCCCATAAGAAATGGAAGAAACATCTTATAAAGAGTTTCTCCCCACACTGGGATTTGTAAATTCTCCACATTGTCCTATCTCCTCTTTCAGAGTAGGGAACAAGAAGATACAGGAGGCACAGTGACCCTGCCCCACATCCCTGATTTACTGTGCCATCCTGGAGTGGGCCAGGCTGTGGATAATTTTTTTTTTTTTTAAGAAACTGCCAAGCTGTTTTTCAGAGTGGCTGTACCATTTTCCATTCCCAACGGCAATGTATGAGTGATCCAGTTTGTTGGTAAGTTTTTTTGTATGAGTGTGAGGTTTAAAAAAATAGAATAATGCAAGAAATAAGGATAGAGGGCTATTGATCAGAGGGAGAATCCATGGTAGTGTTGGAAGGAAAACCATCCAGATTACCTAGTAGAAATGGACTTGAACAATTTCAGGAGAAACCATTCTGGTAGGTTGACATAGAAGAGATGAAATAAGAAAAACTTTGTGGAAAGAGACGGAACAATGAGAAAATAAAGAATGTGGATTAATTGATGTGCTTTTAACCAGTTAGTAGTTAGGAACAGGTGGGCCTCTGACCAGCAAGAGTTAAAGATGTGGTTCAGAGATGCACTGGGCATTGCCCTCATAATGGAGCCCCTGTCTTGTGGGCCTGAGGCAATAATAATAACGCAAAAATGACTTAGCACACATTATCACCATTTTGCAGATGAGGAAAACCAGCACATAACCTGCTCACAGTCACACAGCTAGAAAGTGGTTCAAACCCAGGCATTCTGGCTTCAGGGTGTATGTCCTTAACCATAACCTGAAACCATCATGACTCATAACTATAGTGAGAAAAACTCATGTCACCCAAGTTAACAGTAATTAGATGCAGGACCATACAGAATTTAGTTATCTCCACGTTGAGGAAAGTTCTGGAGTAGATCTGTGTAACAATAAAAGAACAATGTGCTCAAGAGAATATGACATGAATTGAAGAGTTAATTTAGGCCTTGAGAAATAGAAAATGCCCAGCTTCTATTGCTCTCTTACTTCTCCTGGCCATTTGGTCATCATTCAGTAGAAATCATGCAATCCCACCCTGCCAGTATCAACCTGGTCTCTATGACTGCTTGAAAGAAAACCCCAGAAATCAGATTTGTCAGGTGAGGATAAAACAAAGACTCCCTTTGCTGGTGCCGGACTAAGGGGGCAGAAACCTCTGGCCAGCTGGGGCTTACCTGGAAAGTAAAACAAAACTGGAACGTGGGGGTGATTGGAGGAGCCTCAGGCTTTGAGAAAAAAATAAGCAGTTGGGATCCCAGGGGCTTGGAGGGCTTCATTTAGAAAGAACCTGTAAATAGTTATTTTAGGCCTCAGACATGTTTTCTATGTCCTTGCTCGCTGAAAATGAACAAGGTGAATTATGGCGAATTCTTGCGGCACTTTCGTATTGCTCAACAAAACAAGAAATGTACCATGGCTTGACACTTTTCTATTTTTATCAGTCTTTTTCCTCTGTAAGTTTCTGAGATTTCAGTTTCATTTTGTACCATTTCCTTTCAAAAACATGTTTCTTCAACAGCTTCATAAATGAGACAAATGATTTTGATCCATTTCTCTTGGATTTGTTTTCGTGGTGGCAGTTATCCTGACTTTGAATCCAGCTGTGTTGGTCAGTTCAGACTGCCTTAAGAGGACGCCGTGGACGGGCTGGCTTATAAGCAACAGAAATTCATTCCTCACAGTTCGGTTGGCAGGGAAGCCCAAGAACCAGGCCCCTGCAGGTTCCGTGTCTGGTGAGGACCTGCTCCCTGGCTGCAAACTGCCAAGTTCTCAGTGGGTCCTCACAGGGTAGAAGGGGCAGGGAAGCTCTCTGGGGTCTTTTATAAGAGCAGGCATCCCACTGGTGAGGACCTCACCCTCATGACTTAATCTCCTCCCAAAGGCTCCACCTCCAAATATATCACACTGGGGACCAGGATTCAACCTATGAATTTGTTGGCAGGGGGGTGGTGGAGGACACAGACTTTCAGGCTATAGCACCAACCAAGAGAATTTTTTAAAGTTCCTGTTGGTGAATGCAATGTACTTTTGGCAGAGATGGATCAGAGTGCAAGTTAACAATCTAGGGGCAACTGGGTGGCTCAGTCAGCTAAGCATCTGCCTTTGGTTCAGGCCATGATCCCAGGATCCTGGGATGGAGTCCCACATTGGGCTCCTTGCTCAGTGGGGAGCCTGCTTCTTGCTCTGCCTGCCCCTCCCTCTGCTTGTGCTCTCTCAGTCTCTCTCAAATAAATAAATAAAATCTTTTTTTAAAAAAGAAAGTTAATCTGCAAATGAAATCAACAAGAGAGCCCGTTACTGCTTTTCTTTTGAGGAAGTGGGGGCCCTCAGTATGGGAGCACGCTACCTGCTCTCTGCAGCACAGCATCCCGCGGTCCTAAACTTCTGAGGGCAGAAAGCAGTGGGGCAGGTTGAACCACATGAAATTGCCCTTGCTGTAGGTCAAAAACAGTTAGCTAGTGGCAACTTCCTGTGGCATAGCTCTGTCCATCCAGCAGGCATTCAAGGAGCCCCGGACTATCATGCATCATTATTATCTGACCCTCTCTTGGCTTCAGCTGCATTAACTGTCTGAAGAGGTGAGTGCCCACACAAGTGCAGAGCCAGAGGAGGGCTGGTTAAAGTTCCAACTGGCTCTGCTCAAGTTCAGGCTGGTTCTGCTCAAGCTGACATTTCCTTTCACAGAGGCTGATTCAAACAGTCTTGCAAAGGACACATGCGAAAATCCAGTGCGGGATTGGATTCAACAACAATCCGGTTGTTCTTTATCGCCATGTTCTTTTGGGGGGTACAGTATCTTCTTCTTCCTCTTCCTTTTTTTTTTTTTTTTTTTGGCATACAGTATCAAGAAAAAGTAGTTTTAAGAGAGGGGCCTGATTTTTCTGTTTCTTGCTTTCTCTATGTTGGGTCATCCTCGCTGCCTTTGAGGAGATGCTGTCAGTAATTGTACGTGCTATTTCCAACACTTTATTTCTTAACTCACTTATTATCATTTCCTATCCGGGAGAGAGCTCAGACCCAGAGGTCCCGTAGCTTGTGTCAGAGCCTGGAGCTGCTCCTTGCCCTCACGTGGCTGAGTTCCGTGGCTCCTTTGCTGTGCGGCCACCACCCGGTGGATGTGCACGTGCCTTGCGGGGCGGGGCGGAGCGTGCTTCCCCACCGGTTCCCTCCCCAGCAGGTCCCCAGCAAGTACCTCAAGTAGACTAGACTCGTTTAACTGAACAACAGTAGTTTTGCAAACTTAACGAATAATAGTAAGCAGTCAGGATCATTGCATGACTCAATTGTCGCTCCTTTTTGTTGATTATTGTGATCCCATCATAATCTTACAGAGGACTTTGATGTGTCTTTGCCTCTCAGAATAACCTTGTGAAGGTGATAGAGCAGGCCTGAGTACTTCAACTCTTAGGTGAGTGATAGAGGTTCAAAGAAGGGGAGTGCAGAGCAGAAACCACATCTATTCTTCTTCCTTACTACCGAAGTAAAACCTACCCCAGTTGAACACTGTTCTGAGTCAATCAGATGCACAATTAGAAACAAATATTTGAGCTATGACCGTTTTTATAGTGACTCTTTGACCAAATAATTTTGAATCAGTTGTAACTTTTCACCCTTGTAACTAAATCCATTAATCACAAAATGGTAAATTATCAAGTAGGCACTAGTCATGGTAAATTATGATTCATCAGTGCTCCCTGTGACAAGGTAACATTTTATAACTGAGCGAAACTGAAGAAGTTAAGCCTTACTTAACTGATCACTTTTATGAACACGAAAACCTAAACTCTGCAAGTTCTAAGTTTTTTTGTTTGTTAGTTGTTTGTTTTAGTGCAAAAAGGTAAGTTTTTATTAAAGCGCTGGGACAGGACCCTTGGCAGGAAGAGCTGCCTGGAGGTTCTATGTCTTGAATTGAATTCTAAAGACTTAAAACAGTATCAACTGCCTCTGTAGCAGATGGTTGTAAGGATGATCCCCCTTTTCTTTATATCTTAAGGATCTTTCTATATTTAAATTGCTGTTTTCCATGCCTTTACTTCTGTTACTCACATCTCAATTTCAATAAGACAATTTTGAAATGCTGCAGAGAAAAAAGGGAACTTGGTCACCATCTTGACTTCACATCAGAAGCCATTGCCCCTTTCTCCCTCCAGCCAGAAACCCTATTTAACACCATCTCTCTCTTTTATAGCCACAAAGAGAAGAAAATCATCCAGGAAACTTAGGGATGCTAAGACAAGAAAGACAAATATGGCTGTTTCTGCTCTTACCCTCAAAAAGAAAAGACTGTAGATCATTTTCGCCAGCTTACCTGACTGCTTCCAAGCAAAAGAGATAATGAAGTATCATTAGTTCGTGAGTTAAGTCACATGAAAGTAGGTCATGATCTAAATAATTCTTGGAGAGATGGAAAAGCTTGAGAGTCCTGAAGGTGGTCATTTTACTTTATTTTTTAAAAAGATTTATTTATTTATTTTAGTGTGGGGGAAGGAGGGGCAGATGGAGAGGGAAAGAGAGAATCTCAAGCAGACTCCCCACTGAGCGTGGAGTCCAACACAGGGCTCCATTGTACAACCCAGAGATCATGACCTGGCTGAAATCAAGAGTTCAACACTTAACCGATTGAGCCATCCAGGTGCTCCGAGGTGGTCACTTTAAATTGGGTTCTTTAAAAGGCTCCAATGTTCAGGCACTTGGATGCAGACATTAAATCAGAGCACAGACACATGCATGATATCTTAGATACAAGGGGAAGATTCTGGAATCAAGAGTGAGAATTTGCACACCGTTCTCTAAGTTACTCTGCTTCTCTGTGCCTCAGATTCCTGTCTTATAAAGTGTGAGCATTTTGTTTATATGCTCTCTAAAAGCACTCATAATCTATAGGAATAGGTCATATTATACCAATGACCTATATTAATATAATAACTATATACAAACTATATATAGTATAATCACTTACTAATAATTGATTGTACAATCTGCTACAAATTCATAAAAATATCTATCCCCTCACATTTTCCACTAAAGGCCTTGACTATTTTCTCAAGTTCTATATGATACAGGTAAGGAGTCATTCTTAAATAGAAAATTCTATTCAAAGCAGAAAATATGAGCAGACATGTTTATAGCCCTTAGAACTTTCCTTCACCCAGAACTTTATCTCAGTATGAAGGAAAACAGAGAATAATTTTATCTGCTTGTTGCTACTCTACTATACTGTCTCAAAGTATTTGAATGACTTTTACTAAAAGGCCCAAATTAACAACAACAACAACAACAACAAACCTAAAAAACAACTAGAAAAATCTCTTGCATGGTAAGATTGGGATCAGGGAAGGGAGAATATGGATGTCCTAGGAAGGCATCAGAGGTCACATAATGCATGTGTATTCTTAAAACTCTTTTATATGATTAATTTGTCTTTGGCAAAATGAAAGTTATATCTTATCGGGGTTATAATGGAGATTATCTTTATGATCACCAGCCTGAGATACTTCTTCCTTGTATCTACTTCAGAAGGAAGGAGGGAAGGAAAGAAGGAAGGAGGGAAGGAAGGAAGGAAGGGAGGAAGGAAGAAAGGAAAGAAGGGAGGAAGGAAGGAAGGAAGGAAGGAAGGAAGGGAGGAAGGAAGGAAGGAAGGAAGGAAGGGAGAAGTAAGCTTAGTTCCCTGAGGGCTGGGGCTGGCTAAGCAATGGCCTTGATTTCTCCGCTGGCCTGACAACAGAGAGCAACACCTCACAATCAGTGCTTTGGGCACTAAGGATTCAGCAGTGAATAAACTAGGCACAAAATCATGCTTTTATGGAGCACACGTTCTTAGTCTTTAATAGGTAAGTCAGTGTCAATTTGGGTGAATTTCATTCCTGATATTATACTGTAGTACATTTTCCTAGCAGCAAATATCTGATATCAAACCTTATCAGTAGTACACATTGTACAATCCTTGTAATCCTTCCTGGTTGTATTCATTGAACTGCAATATTTTTTTCCACAAAAGTGGTCAGGCATAATATTCATAAGATTATAAAATAAGACCCCGCTAGCTGACAGTAAGTTTTATGTTATATAAATGCTTCCCTCTCTATAAATACTAAATTAATGGTACTTTCACTTATAGAACTCACTAGACCTTGGCCATCATCACTTTCTCTCTTCAAATCTCTATGCCAATTTTTGCCCTAAGCACTCTGCACGTCAGTGCTCTGGCTACTTTTATAGCTGCAGTGTATGAACATGCTGTTATATTGCCAAATAAAACAGAAACACTTGTGGGACACCTGGTGGCTCAGCCAGTTAAATGTCCAACTCTTGATTTTGGCTCAGGTCGTGAGAGTGAGCCCTGTGTTGGGCTCCATGCTCAGTGGGGAGTCTGCTTGAGATTTTCTCTCTCTTCCTCTGCCCCTTCCACCCCCTTCCAAATAAATAAATAAATAGATGAATAAATAAATAAAATCTAAAAACAACAACAACACAGAAACACTTGTTCTTCAGGACAACGTCCTACTCCTTGTGAAGAAGAGTATAGATTTCTAGAGGGAGTGATGAATCAGGCAGCTGGGTAGGTATTCTTTTTATTTCTGTTAATCATAATTTATGGGGTGGGAAGGAGTGCTAGTAGAAGATTGGAGCATTGAATTGTCTATGTTACATATGAAGAAATAACTTTGATTTCACTTGTTTCAAACAGAATGCTCAAATTATTGTGACTCCTGAAGATGTACTTTATGGATGGAAATTTACCAGGGAAACCATTTTTCCTTATCTGGAGGGTATTCCAGGACCCCAGGTGAACTGGATTCCATGCTGAGACCCCCAACAGATATTTTAACTATCCTTGTTGTTTGTGCAAAAATGCTGTAATTCTCTGAAATGTGCATGTTCACCACAGCAAAAATGATAAATCCTGAACTATCACATATGTATCACATATATATCTACCTTGGCATTTGTTTAAAAAATTTGTGCTTAGATACCACTTAACAATCATTTATGATTGAATAGCTTTATTAAATTTGGAGAAAATATGTGAACAAGATATTTATGGCTAGGACCAGAAGCTAAGCGGAAGAGAATCTCATGAAGTCAAATAATAAATTAATTTCTGAAGTGGACAGTGGATTGTGTTTGGGAAACATTCCAAGGTCTCCACTGAAGGTACCATACTTCAATCTCAGGGAGACTTTCTGTTCCAGAATCTAATTCCTAGAAAGAAAGACCTCACTATGTCTATTCTTGTGAATCATAAGATCTTATGCTTTGAAACTTTGTGTTTTCCTTGGCTCATAAAGCTAATTTTCCTGAGGAAAAATAATCTAGAAACTTTCTAATATTAACTATTTGGTACATGTAAGTGCATATTGGCACACACTCTCTCTCTCCTGTCAAATCCTCTCTTACTCTCTCATACTTTCACCATTTTTTTTTTGTTTTGATGGAGGATTATGAATACCATACTTTTTAAAGCATACCTGATTATTCTGACATTTATATAAGGGTTATTAGGAAACAGTTTTTCTTAGCTCTAGAGAGACACAAAGAAGAAAATATTGGGTGATGTGATGGTAGACAGCTAATTTTCCCATCCTTCTTGTCCTGAGCTTTTACAAACGCTCTCTATGGCATTTGTAAATTTTCTTTTGTGCCAGAAGAGAGGTCAATAGCTGGATGGCCTTCCTATATAGAAGTTTTGAGAACTGGGACAACTCATTTATTTTACAACTCATGGTAGGACTGAGTTCTGGATTTCCGGTTAAAAACAATGTATGTTATAAATTTATGGACTAGTCAAAGGTCACAGCAGCAATGGAAACTAGTGAAGGTTGGGGGAACGGTTTTTACATATGGTTAGTAAAGAGCTCTGTCACAGCCCACAGTAGAAAGAATGAATTTTGACACAAAACGGGGCTTGCATCATCACCCAAGATAGTCCACATTTAATTCACTTACCTTTTCATTCATTCAGTCATTATTTATTGAGCACCTATGACGTGCCAGATACTATTCCAGAAATAGGAGATGTAGCGCTTAATAAAATGAAGTTTATGCCCCCCCACCATGGCTTATGAATATTTAGTGAGAGAAAATAGAGATAAATAAACTCACTTATTATATAGAATTTTGTATGGTGATCTGAATGGATATGTTTTAGATGTCAAGGTGACAGGGTTTGTTGCCAGACTGTGGGAGGATGAGAGAAAGGCAAGCATCAGGAGAGACTCCCGTTTTTGGCTTGAGCAACCGGAGACATGGACTTGCCATTTACAGATATAGACAGCACTGAAGGAACAGTGCGTCTGGGATGCAAATTAGGAAACCAACTTTGTGCATCTTAACTGAGAGCTGCCCTTTAGACATCTAAGTGGAGGTGTCAACCTGGCAATTGCATATACAAGTCTGGCACGAAGGGACAAAGTCAGGACTGGAGATAGAAATCCAAGAGTCTGAGCACATAGATGATTTTTTAGCACCATAAAGGTTGACCTATGGAGTAAGTTACAAAAGGGAAGAGATCTAGGACTTGAGATCTAAGAAATTCCGAGGTTTAGACTCAGGAGAGGTGAGGAGCATGAGAAGAGCAGCCAGTGAGAAGGGGAATGTGAGAGAGTGGGGTCCAATATGCAACGTGAAGTGTTTCCATGAAAGGGTGTAATTAAGTGTGTCAAGTCCTACAGATAAGAATGATCAAGTAAGATGTGGAGATCATCGTTGGCATTATTAGTAAGAGCTGTCAGGTGGGAAGCTGATTGGAGAGCTTCAAAAGAGAATGAGAGAGGACAAACTGGAAACGGCAAGATGGACAACCCCTTCCAGAAGTTTTGCTGTGAGAGGGAGGTGAGAAAATATTTAGAGGGGACTGTGGGTTCAAGAGAGGTTTTTAATTTATTTTTTTAAAGACAGGAAGTATTAGAGCATATTTACGTGTCGATGGAAAGATCCAGTGGAGAAGAGACAACGAACGATGTAGGGGAGTGAATAAGGAATTGCCAGAGCAGGGGCCGCTGGGTGACTCAGTTGGTTAAGCGTCTGCCTTCGGCTCAGGTCATGATCCCAGGGTCCTGGGATCGAGCCCCGCATCGGACTCCCTGCTTGGCGGGAAGCCTGCTTCTCTCTCTCCCACTCCCTCTGCTTGCCTCTCCACCTCTTTGTGCTCTCTCTGTCAAATAAATAAAATCTTAAAAAAAAAAAAAAAAAAAAAAGGAATTGCCAGAGCAATATCTATGATGTGGAAAAAATTCATCAAGTTTAATTTGTGGCTTTTAATTATGTTCTTTTTCATGAATAGTTTTTATATTGACTTGTAAATTGACTTACACTTAGATTCTTACTATTGTTTGTTTCTGAATGAAGTGGATAAAATACATTTTTAGGTGAAAATGTCTCCTTAAAAATTGAGATATAATTGACATAAAATGTATAAGTTTAAGGTGTACAGTGTGTTGATTTGATACTATATATTGCAATATGTTTACCACCATAATGTTAGCTAACACTGCTGTCACTTCACATAATTATTATTTCTTTTTTGGGGGTGAAAATTAAGATCTAGTCTCTTAACAACTTTGAAGTTCATAACAGAATATTGTTAACTATAATCACTATGCTATACATCAGATCTCCGGGACATATTTATTTGCTAGTTGCAAGTTTGTACTTTTAAACAGTATCCCTAATTCCTCCTTCCCCTGAGCCCCTGGTAATCACTATTCTATTTTTTTTTTATGAGTTCAGCTTTTCTAGATTCCACATATAAGTTATATCACCCAGTATTTCTCTGTCTGTCTAACTTAACTGAAATGCCTTAATTAAAATTTCATTTGCCTGGGTGGCTCAGTTGGTTAAGCATCTACCTTTGGCTCAGGTCACGATCCCAGGGTCCCAGGATCGAGTCCTGGGATTGAGTCCTGCATCAGGCTCCCTGCTTGGCAGGGAGTCTGTTTGTCCCTCCCCCCCCTACTTGTGCTCTCTCTCTCTCTCTCAAATAAATAAATAAATAAAATCTTTAAAAAAAGAAAAGAAAAGAAAAAATTTTCATTTAGATTTGGTCACACACCATTACAAGCAAGACTCAGCTACCTGGCCAAGAACAACACTATATCTTGGCAAATATTGGTGACAAAAAGACGTGTAGTTCTTAGGACTCCACACATCCTCCTAATCGTTATTATCAATACAATACTACTGTGGTGTATAATACAGGGGGAATACTGGTGGCACATTACCATAGGTAAGAGGGAGGGAGTATATAAAACAGAAGCTGTTATGAGAGTGGTCAATGCTGTATTTAAGAGTTTGATCTTCATTCCCTAAATACCATGTTACTAGAGATCTGGAAAAAATGTAGGTGTTATAATAGTGCAGGATTGAGGTTTTTTTGTATATCAAAAAACAGGTAGCTTTAATATTAATACAAAAGATACTAAGGTGATTGTAATCTGGATACCACTTAATATCAAAAAGATACAAAGATGTTTCCAAATTGTATGAATCAGTTTCATAGAAGTTAAATTCCCTATTATCTATCAAATCACAAAAATCATCTTTCTCTTTATTTTCTACACCAGTTAATTTAATTACCCTCTTAAAGGTTTAAGGTTCAATCATAACATTTTTACTTTAAAGTCTGAGTTGAAAGACTAAAATAACCTTATGCCAATGAACTATTGGGACTTCATCAAGATAAAAAGCTTTTGCACAGCAAAAGAAACAGTCCACAAAACCAGAAGACAACCGCCAGAATGGGAGAAAATATTTGCAAATGACATATCAGATAAAGGGCTAGTATCCAAAATCACATGAAAAAGTGCTCAACATCACTCGGCATCAGGGAAATCCAAATCAAAATCTCAATGAGATGCCATCTCACACCAGTCAGAATGGCTAAAATTAACAAGTCAGGAAACGACAGATGTTGGCGGGGATGCGGAGAAAGGGGAACCCTCCTACACTGTTGGTGGGAACGCAAGCTGGTGCAGCCACTCTGGAAAACAGTATGGAGGTTCCTCAAACAGTTGAAAATAGAGCTACCCTATGACCCAGCAATTGCACTACTGGCTATTTACCCCAAAGATACAAATGTAGTGACCCAAAGGGGTATATGCATCCCAATGTTTATAGCAGCAATGTCCACAATAGCTAAACTATGGAAAGAGCCAAGATGTCCATCGACAGATGAAGGGATAAAGATGATGTGGTATATATAGACAATGGAATATTATGCAGCCATCAAAAAACCCTGAAATCTTGCCATTTGCAATGACATGGATGGAACTAGAGGGTATTATGCTAAATGAAATAAGTCAAGTATCGTATGATCTCACTGATATGAGGAATTCTTTTTTTTTAAGATTTTATTTATTTATTTGACAGAGAGAGAGAGACAGCAAGAGAGGGAACACAAGCAGGGGAAGTGGGAGAGGGAGAAGCAGGCTTCCCGCTGAGCAGGGAGCCCAATGCGGGGCTTGATCCCAAGACCCTGGGATCATGACCTGAGCTGAAGGCAGATGCTTAACAACTGAGCCACCCAGGTGCCCTGATATGAGGAATTCTTAATCTCAGGAAACAAACTGGCGGTTGCTGGAGTGGTGGGGGGTGGGAGGGATGGGGTGGCTGGGTGATGGACATTGGGGAGGGTATGTGCTATGGTGAGCACTGTGAATTGTGTAAGACTGTTGAATCACAGACCTGTACCTCTGAAACAAATAATACATTATATGCTTAAAAAAAAAAGAAGATAGTAGGAAGGGAAAAATGAAGGGGAGGAATTGGAGGGGGAGATGAACCATGAGAGACTATGGACTCTGAGAAACAAACTGAGG